GCACAGGTACACTTTTTCAAAAATAGAGGAGTTTTGTCAATTAAATTATCTGAACAAGGTTGCAGTCTTTTCTAGATCACACAACTTTCTTCTCACTTCAGTTTTACGTTACTGACACAATAAATACAGTCAATCATCAAACCAAGCAAGAGTTGGAAAGCAGTAATTCCTTTCCTCAGGTCTGATGTAAGCCTCAGAGTATAAGCTATAAGCCCTAAGGCACACATCTTCACAGGGGTTCGGGGATTACATGCTGATGTCCAAACCTGGACAAACTCCCCTGCAGTCCATGAGTTCACCTCTGTAACCACGGAATAACTAAGGTTGGAAGGGACCTCCATTGTTTCCAAGCCCCAACTCAGAGCAGGGCTAATTACACCAGGTTACCACGGGCCACGTCCAACCGTCTTGAACTTCTTGAACCCCTTCATGGATGGAGATTCCACAACCTCTTTGGACAACTTCTTCCAGTATTTTACCACGCTTGTGGGAAAAATTATTTTCCTTATGTGCAATCAAAATTTCCTGTTCCTCCAAATGACATGTGTTGCCTCTCCTACTATTGCCACATGCTTCCAACAGTCTGGCCCCATTTCCTCTATATCCTGCAGCCAGCTAGTTAAGCCTTCTCTCTTCCTAAGGTTGAGCAAACCCAGCTCTCACAGCCTCGTCGTTTCTTGGGGATCCTCCACTGGATTCACAGACTGATGTGGTTCTGTCAGGATCTTTCTGAGAAGCTCAAAACTGGATACCATTTGCAAGATGCCATCTCCCAAATGCTGAGTAAGGGGGAACAACCACTTCTTCAAGAAGAAGTTAATGAGATTTAGATTCTCAGGATCTTTTTTTTTCCATCAGAAATAATTAAATTTTAAATTTGTACACAGATGTGAAAAAACCTCATAATTCTGGACTCCAATTCCTTTTTACACCAGTGGATAGGGTAGTTATTTATCTTATCCTAACTTTCATCTGAAACATGATTCACGTCACTAAACCACTTGTAGCAAGAAGAACTTGCAGTATCTGCTGCAGTCATCTTAAGTGTGCTCTCCAAAAGAAACTACACTAACCTGAATTCCAGCAAAAGCATCTTAGAAATCAGGATGAAGCCATTGTTCCCCTGCATCCTGCAGCAATCCCACAAGATGAACCTTTAAGCAAATTGCACTATTTAAGAAGAGCAAATCACAAATCACAAGACTACACAAACTGTTTTCTGTATATCCACACCAAAACTTCCAGGAAAGAAATATCTATGCTGGCCGTTTTAATAGCTGCTAGAATTCAGGACTTGTAACAGTCTGAAAGGAATGCAAATCCCACAGTCCTCCCACTTTTATCAACCAAACTATACCTTGTCTTCCTGAGGAAGCAGTACAAGACATTGTTTACAAAGGCATGTATGTTATCTGGAAGTTGCTATAGGATGGTATTTGAAAACCTTCTAGAAACACTAGGGAAATTAAAATTTGTTTATATAATTCCAGCTCCTATCTAACACACTCGGAGATACTGCACACAACAGAAATTAAGAACTTGATATCTAAAACCTATATTCCAATTTTATTTTTTTTTAGGTTGAGACTACTTCTTCTCTAACTTCTAGGAGCATAACAGAACCATTCTAATGTGAGAAGCTCAATTAAGGAGTAAAAAAAATATCATATTACTAAGAATTTGGTAACAATAATAGGTGGATTCAAATCAATTATCTTGGAAAATAAGGGCATCTTCTCCCATTAAAGATGTCCCAATCTCCCTACTCTAAGCAAGAAAAAATCTTTTCAGATGCAGCATTGGAAAACTATTAGTCATTTGCAAAACATTCCAACGGAGAAATACGTTCCAGTTTAAAATTGCACTGCAGAAAGAAAAAGCAATTTCCCCCCATTTATTATTCCCACAAGTGTCTTGATAGCTCCTAAATACCATTTTTATATTGAACTCAACACTCTCCCCAAAACAGCAGAAGGGCATAAAAAGCAGAATCATGCACAACTTGAAGAGGTAACTTCACATCTCTCTTACTAAGATTTGTTCTCTTTCTCCTTTCTATGTTCAACTCCTCACATCATGACAATACCCTTTGAGATGTCAGGCTTTTATCTTACATACTGGAGTATTACACCAGAGCTCTCAAGTCCATCCATAAATGACTATACTTTCTAACCATTAACTCCCTTAACTGTATACAATCAGAAAAAAGTCACTTTTCTCCAACATTACACAATTTTAAATTTCTATATGGTTCTTCAACCATTAAGGTGTTTTTTTAAGTAATTAAGGTGTTCATAATGAGATTGAAATTCAGTGAATGCAACAATCTCTAAACAGATCACCTTCAAGCAGGAGCCAAGTGATTTGAACACAAGACACCTCAGGAAAGCCAAGAGCTGTTATTTATCTTAGTACTTCAGCAGAATATTTTTACTATGCTTGAACCCTAACTTCAAATGGTCACTTTCCCAGTCACTGATGATATTTCATGAATCTCCAAGGTAGCCAGAGTCTGTTACTGCACAGTTTTAGTAGGCAGCAAGTTTCTCCTCTCCTCTTACCAAAGAGGTTTAGCAGTTCAGAAGGAGACAAATACAACCTCTTTGAAAATTAAGTAAACAATTTCACCCTCTTCTGTGCATGCTGGAGTAAAGAACCTACTCTATGTCAAGTACCACCCTCAGAGAAGGAAGTATCATAGGGAAACATCTGAATTTAAGCTTTATTTTTTTTTAGGATAAAAACCCCCAAAATAACATAAACAAACAAATCAATAATTAAAAACCCCTCCAACTTACATAGATAACCTGAGCAGAAACATCATAGGTAGGACTCCTTTTTTTCAATCAGTTCAAAGTAGGTAAAGCTTTCCTGCACTATCAAGCCCTACTGGGGGACATGGTAAGGCACTACCCTGTCTCTAAAACTCTCCCCTCAGAAACTCCATGGTTTTCCAGATAAATTGTCAATGACTGCAACGTTTCTTTAAACTGACCATTTTCCTTTCCCTGCCTCTTCCCATCATCTCAGCTAGATCTCATTTTACCTCTTATTTCTTGCACAAAACCTCTGAAAGGCCTTCTTGAAAAGTTATTTTCCTCATCCTTACTTTTCTGTTTGGTTTTTTTTTCCTACTAAGTAACAATCACATTCTTTTGTGCAAGCTGCCTTGTTTTTGGTACTTGCTTACAGTTGCAGATTTTCAAGTACTCTACGTGGTAAGTATGTAGTATATACATACACAGCAAATATATTCAATACAAAGTGAGCATTCACATGTTTCCCTTCTTCTGTAGAAAGGCCCAAAAAACAAAACTGAAAAGGCAAAAGACCAATCAAGTAGCCAGTGATATCAGAATCTCTGATATATCAGCAAACACATCTTTTGGCAGCTTACCACCAGGGATGCTATCTAAGAAAGATGGACATAATTAGCTCCCCTAAGCAATTGCTTATTCCAGTCCAGTTCTAACATGCAGACCCTCACTTTGAAAGTTAGCATAAAGCTAGCCCACATAAAATTATGGAGAAAAAATGTAATTATAAATCTGTTTGACCAGCAAGCAGCTGCCAGAAAGATATCAAACTTTCCTACACTCTTATATCTCACACTGCTGCTACACTTTAGATTTTTGGTAAGATTTCTCATGACCGCTTCTCCAGTGAACCTTGACCCACTTTAGAAACAGTTATCTCAAATGTCTCGGGTCTCCAACACATATCTGAGCATAGTATCATGTGCAAGCTACTAAGTGAATAGAACATCTCATAAACCAGCAAGGTTTTTAAAGCTTCCTCAGTTTGAAGTCTAAGTTTTTTTCCCATTCACATGCGGCATCACCATGTTTTCCAGATACGCAGGTAAACAAAGCCCTTGAGGAAAATGCTTCCCTACCTCACTTTCTGTTCTTCTGAAGTAGAAGAATATAACTGTATTCAGACGTTCTCCTTTAGAAAGCACAGGGTGGGGAAAAACTCTCACAGAACAACACTCTCCAGCACCACACTTTGTCTTATTACAAAGATTTACATGTAAGATTCTATAGCCAGCAGGGCTTGGAGTTTGCAAGGCAAGACTACCAAAGCCACAGCTCCCCGAACCAGCACAAGCTGACACTGCAGCCAACTGAAGGTCCTGTACCTCCCTCCATTTGTTCACTTCCAGTATTGTGCTGTATCTCTAAAGGGCCAGGGCATGACTGTGAGCATCCATCCACCCAAAGAAACACAGTAAGTATCCTCAGTTAAAGATAACTCAGGGGAAAAAAAGTCTCGTTTTACCCTGCATCAGTTCTCAATCCAGTTCACACAGTGAGTGCACAAGCCTACACCGAAAAAACAGAAGGGACAGCCGAGGACTGAAAAACAGAAGCAGCAGGAGAGATGATGACAGAGGAAGGCTTTTCTGCAGCAGCTTGAGATGTTCAAGGAAACACAACCTTCTACTGAGGCTGAATTCATGACAACCTTTTAAGTTCTCTACACTGTAACACAAAACTTGAGTGTTTTGCACAGAAACAACTCAAGTCTGCAAGCACAAATACACACTTGCATGGCAGGCAGTTGGTACAGCCGGATGGGAAGCGCTGCATCAGCCTCCAGCTCTGCTCTAGGGGAAGTCCCTGCTCAAGGCTACCTGCGCCCACAGCCCCGCGAGTCGCACCTGTAACAGCGAAACAGGGCGAAGGACTGCTGAAACCTTCTCTTCTAAACCACACACCTATGTGCTACAGCAAGGTTTAAGTTCAAAGCTCTGGCACCGGTAAAAGCCGGGCAGTGAAGTTACAGCCGTGACCCGAGGGACAGTCATTTCCCACGCCGCCACCAGTACGGTGAGCGAGCATCCCCCGGGCGCTGCCCTCCCGCCCTCCCTAGGCGAGGGCGGACGACACAAACCGCTGGGTTCTGCCGACACCCCTCACAGCCACACCGCGGTGCCTCCCGGGGCCCCGCCGCCGCGCCCCCCGCCCGCCCCAGCGCCTCTCGTGCCCCGCGCTCACCTGGGTGCCGGGCGGGCCGCGCACGAAGCCGTTGCGGAGCGCGCCGTGGGCGCCGCAGCCGTTGGCGCGGGGCCGCTCGGGCCGCTCCATCGCGCCGGCCCCGCCGCGCCCGCTCCGCCGCCCCCGCCCGGCCGGGCCGCGCCGCACCGGAAGCGCGGCCCGCGCTGCCCCAATCGGCGGCGCGGGCGTCACGCGAGGGGACGGGCCCCGCCTGGCCGCGCCGACGCGCGTGCGAGGCGGGCGGCCGAGGCCCAATGGCAGCCCGCGCGGCAGCCGGGTGGGAGGGGAGCACGGAGAAGGGAGGGGCTCCCCCAATGGCGAAGCGGAACGCCTGTGGGGAGGCGGAGACAGAGGGCGAGCATTGCCCAATCACTTGGCAGGGATAGGACGGGGAGCCAAGGGGAGGTGAATAACTAGCCAATCACAGCGCGAGCCCGAGGGAGGGGGGCGAGAGAGAAGCAGCGTTCGTCCAATGGCAGAGGGAGGAGTGGGGCGGGGCTGAGGCGGCAGCCAATGGGTGCGCGCGGGTGCGGACAGGGAAGGGGCGCGGGGGGCATGGCGCTGGTGGGGTCGTTGGGAGCTGCCGGGAGCTGCCCTCTTCGTTCCGCTCCAGAGCGCCCATGAGCGCGGTCCCGCCCGCCGTGGGCCGTGGCCAGCGCGGCACGGGTTGGTACTGCCGCCACCGTCACCGTCACCATCACCGTCACCATCACCATCCCCGCCGGGCAACTGGTAGCCCTGACTCGGGCACGCTGGTGGCTGGAGCGGGGAGAGGCCGGGGTGGGTGAGGCCGTGGGCAGCCCCTCGCTGGTTCGTGCTCAGGGAGCTGATGAACGAAGCGGTTCCTCCGACACCTGGAGGGCTTCCCAGGACGCCTTGGGCTGTGTCCTCATGGAACCATGCGACGGAGAGCCCCGGGTGAGAGCTCCAGAGAGCGTTTGGGGGATCAGACGTAGTTACTGTAACGCCTTTGCCGCGGCTCGGGAGAGATGGGCCTTGGCTGAACACCGAGGCCCCTTGCAGGGCACCCTGCAGACCAGCCTCGGGCAGAGCTTCATTCCGGCAGGATTTACACCTGGGCTGAAGAATGGCGTGAGCCTGCCCGCCCTGCCGAGCTGTATCGCCCCCGGCAGCTGGAGCTGTTCGCTCTGCCCACAGTTCGGTTGAAAGACCGTACTAGGTTTATATACAAACGTGTTTTCTGACAGGGTTTGAAAAGGGGTACTTCATTCAAAGACCAGGTAAACTAAATGCTAAACTAAATAAATATATTTAGTTCGGGAGTGCGTGTTACCAACTCCACTGCAGTTTGAGGGTGACCAAGCATCAGGCAGAGGAGGCCAGAAGGAAACCAGAAAGTGTCTGTATTTGTGCACTGTTAAACAAATACCTGTGTGCATCCTGGTGAGGGACTAGGAGGCGGTTCCCGAGCTGCAGGAGTGTTATTTGGCAGAAAGTAAACAGCCTGACATGTTGAATCACACTGAAAAGATGGAAGAGTGTGACCTTTGATTTCTCCAGTGTAGTTTTGAGGGAAGGGCTGTGGTTCTTCTATTCACTTAGCAACAGGGGAAAAACAAAATGAAGAGTTATCAGGTTCAAGCATATGAATTAAGAGAATAGTCTCATCCTTTTCTCTCTGATTTGGTAATATTGATAGTTATTTTTATGTATTATAGTCACATCTTGGAGACTTTGTCATGGATCTTATTGCAAATTTGGTATGAATATGCAGTGCCTAACAAGTGAATTAGCTTCTGTGAGAGACAGTAATTTTTTTTCCTTCAGGATGACAGGAAAGCTTCACAGCCTGGTTTCAGCCTATTTGTAGGCAGCAGTGCCTGTCCAGTCTGCTTCATGTTGCCATGTCCCCTTTGGACAAGAGGGCTTTTTATAATGAGGGTGCACACACAGCCTCACCGGTAACGAGTGCAGGGTGGGAGTTTGACCTTGTTCCTTTTCTTCTGTCTCTGGCCACTCCCATATCTGGACTACCCCTGAAGCAGGTATGCCCTTGCCTCAGCAGTAAGCTTTCTTCACCTAGTTTTGACGTGCAGTGGGAGAGAGCCACCAGCTCAGATGGGCTGGGCTGTGTTCCATCTCTTGTCTTGCAGGCTGGGACCACGGGGAGACTGGTGTTACTAGGAAGGACCTTGAGATGAAAGCAGCAAACACCCCTGCTTAGCACTGGAGTACTTGTGCAAGTGGACTGGCTTTGGTGTAGGTGCAGTGAGGAGCACTGGTGGGGAAGAGGCACAGGTGATTTATTTCTGGATGAGCAGGGGAGGGCTTTTGCAGAGTTGAAGTAATCTATGAGGAAACTAATAAATACAATTTAAAAATAAGTAAGAAAGAGAAGTGTATTAAGGGACCACATACTATAGACTTCCTGCAGTATTTTTCCCCTGTTGCCATAGCTGGCTATAAGCATTTTCCTCCTGCCTCCTCTCCCTTTGAATAGAACAGATTGAATTGTACTGACCAGTTTTGCCATGGGGTGCAGAGGTCCATCAGTCTGCACTCACAGGGCATGTGCAGGGCAGCACCCCCCACTCCCTGCCTGCCCACCTGCACAGGGATGAGTTTCACCTGCTAATGCCTTACTTCTAGAGAGGATAAACTTCTTCACCTGCCAGGCACAGAATCTCACTGCTGTGTTATCTGTTAAAGCACAAACCCTTTTCACGTGTAGGTACCTACAGACTGGTCACTACATCTGTCCTTGAACCCAACTAACATGAACCCTTAGGATGTGATGGTTTTGGTTTGGAAATGTAAATAGCATTAAAGGACCTACTGGTGAGCTCATGCAGGACTGTACAGTCTTACACAGCAGCTACAGTGCTCCCCTGCACAGAGGGACCTCACCCTGCCCTGAGCATGGGGCCAGCACAGCCTGGTGTTTTAGGGGCATCTGGTCCCTTCCAGCACAGTGCAGGGGACATGCTCACACTGGGGCTGTAGTGACAGAAGAGTCCAGGATATCCATGGAGACAAGTCACGGCACAGGGATGCCATCCCAGGGCACAGCTACTGCCACAGGCAGGACCAAACAAATCCCACAGAGTTCCTGGAATCACACCTGCAGGCAACTCTGATATGGCTCTGTGCAGTGCACAAGACACCTGTGTACACAGGTGGCTGCAGCTTGTGCCTCTGGCCTAGGAAGTTGCAAAATAGGGAAACCAAAAGAAATCTGAAGAGCAAATTCCAGTATCTGAAGAGCAAATTCCAGTTTTAAATTACATTTTAAGTCTCAAGGATACTGTTCCAGTGAGCTGGCAGAGCAAACTGCCTTACTCTGCCAACTGAACAACATCAATATCACCCAATATGACTGTCAAAAAAGGCAGAGATCCTGATCATAGTTTACAACCATGGGACTGTTTTTTGCTGTAGAGGTAGGGGACAAATGAGTCGTCACTTGGCTCATAGAAGCCTCATCGTTATTTGAGGTCAAATTCCTGGCATGTTCATGTTTGAGTTTGAGATGGAGGCATTAGGAATGAATGCACCAGGAAGCCCTGAACACCAGGCATAGATCAGAGAGGTGAGTTGTGAACTTTGGAGACAGCAGAAGGGCCTGTTCCAGAAGGAGCAATTGGGCAGCAGACTTGAACGTTTGTGAGCTCTGAGAGAGATCCCACTCAGAGCAAGATTGCTGCTCAGAGCCCACTGCAGCCCTGGAGACCTCCAAGGGTCTCACTTAGGACTGCACTTTGTAGGGTCAGAGGAGAGTTGGCTTTAGCCATAGTAATTTTCCATCCTGGCTGCAATTCCAGTTGCTTCTGCTATCAAGCTTTCAAAGAAAAAATTCACCTGGGTTGTTATTCAGACAAGAAAAGTAAGTTTCCAAAGCTGTTTGTTGAAAAGCAGGAGCTGATTAGATAGTTCCTAGGAGCAGACAGAGTTTCTGATAAGCTCAAGAGGAGCTGAGCCCAGGTGCTGTTCATCAAGGCTGAGGCCTGACAAGCATTTCTTACACTGAAGTGCATCCAGAGGCAGGGAGGAAGGGAGCATGCACCACCAGACCTTTCTTCAGACCATTCCAAAGAGCTGGTTTTCTCTAGGCTGTAGTCAGGGCTGACTACCAAGATTGTCCTAGCTTTGTTTGGAGCCTCCTATGCTTTACGTGCTTTTACTTATGTTCCCTGTCCCCAAGACTTCTGTACAAAACAGCACTTACTTAGAAACTGTCATATCTGTTCCCATCCCACCCTTGTCAGTTCAATTTTCCGGATATTTGGCCCTCCTTTGGGCAGTGACTTGTGCAGTGTTTTGGAATGGAGATGGCTGTTTCTCTGCAGTGGAACCAGGCTGTATCTTATAGCCAGCTTAAGACCAGCAGTAACATCCATCCACTTTCACTGCATTTCACCAAGCTGTGCAAAGATGACTGGGGGTAATATCAGAGGAAATGGAGAGGTTATATTCACAGCCTAATAGAGGTTATAACCGTACAGAAATTATAGAATAAACCACAGTTGCTACTCTCTGGGTGGAATGTGGTTGGTGTGCTCAAAACCTATTCCACGATGATTCCCCACACCCACAGTCTGCAACCACAGCACCTGGTAAGGGGGATGAAGCAGAGGGTGGAGTGGAGACACCTCATCTGGGCTCTGTTGAAATCCTTGTAGGGAAGGGAACTCAATAGCACTTTGCAGCTGAGAAACTGCATAAAACCTGTCAGCCAAGGGAGACAGGAGATGTCCTGCTGCTGAGCCAACACCTGTGGTGAAATCCTGCTCCTTGGATGAATTTGGTTCATTTTAGCCTAATTGTAACATTAACACACACCTCCATCCCAAAGTACTACCACCTCTCGTTGGACATGTGCTCTGTATTTTTGACTGTATGTTTAAAAACAAAGTGGGAGAATTTTACACCAATCAGTAACAAAGGTCACAGTAACAAAGCAGTCACCCAAGCTCCACCTAAATGTAGAGAAGTAGTATAGAAGTTGAGAATGAGGGAAAAGTTGGGGAAGACTCCATCATAGCTATCAGTTGATAGGCTGAACCTGTCTTCTCCCCTGTGGAGACACCTATTGGGCAAGAATCAAACTCTATGCATGCTGAATATTTTAC